CTACATGCTGCATGCTGTGAGGTACCCAGCAGGTCGGCACACATGCCTACATTGCATCCACATACATACACACATTATCACAGCTAAATGCTAAGCTCTCAAGCAAAGGAGCAGGCCTGCTGGTGAGACCATGTTCATCCTACACAACGTACATACTACATGCTGCATGCTGTGAGGTACCCAGCAGGTCGGCACACATGCCTACATTGCATCTACATACATACACACATTATCACAGCTAAATGCTAAGCTCTCAAGCAAAGGAGCAGGCCTGATGGTGCTATGTTTGTGCTGGGAAGCACGAACCTGGACAATTTCACGGCCAGGTTCATTGTTCTCATGCACGAACATAGCACACCCACCTCCTCCAGTGGTGCTATGTCCATGCTGACAAAGAGCACGGACATGACCCTGCTTATGGCCGGGTTCATGCCTACGCGGCGGCCAGGGTTAACTTGTGCTTTATTCATGCTTGAAAGCATGCACCTGGTCATAACCATGGTCATGTTCATGCTTTGTTAGCATGAATCTAGCACCAGCAGGGCCTGGACCTTACTGACAAGGCAATCACCAAACTTTATGGCTTTCGTCCACCAGACAGGGTATTGCACGCACACTGAAGGGCCTCGCTCCACTCCAGAACATTCGAAATGCATCTGGCCTTGTTGGTTGCCTAGAACAGACACAAATCCAATGAACCCCATGCTAACACTACCCCCCCCCAAAACTTAACCAAATCGGACCCTACACCACAACGCGGTTAGCCATTATTTTTTTTACCTGCGTAGCACCACCTATGCGTACGCAGTGTCTCAAGTCCGTACTCCGTCTTGCGTACGTCGCATGACACGTACACTTTAGTTGTGATTACTTTTTTTTGTAATAGGTGAACACATCAGTCATTATGGTGCATCTTATAAAGTAACAAAAGGTCTTTTTGAAAAATATGGTATTTTTTTTAATACTATTTTTAAAATAGTATTTTTAGTATTTTTTATTTTTCTTTTACTAATTTCAGAATACCTGATACACCAACTGCAGAAAACAGTTTTACAGGAATAGCAATCGGTGCTGCTATGACAGGACTTATACCTATTATTGAGGGAATGAATATGGGATTTCTTTTATTAGCATTCGCCTCCTCGTCTTCCTCCTCTGTCCTGATCTTCCTCCTCCTCCTCCTCTTCCCCGGATCTCAGTCTTCCTCCTCCTCACGCACACTTTCCCCCCCGCCCCCCCCCTTTGCTCGTCCTCCTCCTCGCTGTCCTCATTCCGATCGTGCGTGGCACGCATGCATTTAAAAAAAAAGAATCTCCTCCGCGTCGTCCTTTTTCCTCCTCATCGTCGTCCTCTTCCTCTCGTCCTGATCTCACTCCTCCTCCTCCTCCTCCTTCCCTTCCTCAGCACCGCCCTCCTCCTCCATTACCTCCCTGTCTTTCTCATCTTCCTCCTCTGTACCCATATATAAAAAAAAGTGTATACTTGCGCCGATTTTTGACACGTACACATACGCCGAGTACGTATGTGTGCGCACTCCGTACGCGTACGTGGTGCTACGTAGATTTTTTTATGCATTATTGATTTACTATTTTTACTATTAAATTAGTAATTTACTAATTCAGTATGATTTAAATTGATTTTATAATTTTTATTATATCACTATTTTTAATATTTTACCCATTCAAGTTCAACCTTAATTCAGACACAGATCCAAAGAACTTCAATGCTGACACCAAACCCAAACCCTAAACCAATACCCCAAGTCAACGAACCACACAAACAGGGAGGAAATTAAGTTCAATTAACTTAGCCCAAATCAGACCCCACACCACAAGGTAGCCCCACACCACTAATAACTCCCGCTTTCCCCCTAAAAAGAGCGCACAATCATTTTCGTTGTATCTAGACTGCAAGCTGCCCCAAATACAGCTGCAATGACCACAGATTCTATTCGGGCGAAGATGGCAGTAATCAGATGCAAATCCGAGGAATGATCCAAATAACAAGGAGGAAACAGGGGGTCCACATCACGCACCTGCATTAGGAGACCGTCCAGGTACACTAGTACAGTTCGTTCCAAGCACAACTCAGCGAACCGCCGGAATGACTTCTCCTCAAGGCACCTGCACACTCAAACACACAAGAGGAATTTCCACAAGAAAAACACGACGAAGAATTTCCCCAAAACGAATGGTTCGATATACAGACCCGCGTTCGAACCAGACGGGTTCGAATCCAGACGGGTTCGGATCCAGACGCAATTAGATGGATGAAGAAAGTGAAGAAGTCATGGAGTTCCCTGGGCCTGGTCAGTTCCACCATGATATCCCAAGTGTTTGTTT